CACTTGGCGTGATTCCCGGTGGCTGTAGGAGTTTTCCAATGTCCTTGACTTTGCTCAATCTGCAAACTCACAGGTGCTTTCAGCCCCATTCAGTGAGTGCCATGTCGCCCGATGCCGAGAATCACCTCTGGGGCCCGGTAGTAGCGCGGTTGCAGGTACGGCGTCTTCACTGCCTGCGATGCTTCCCCAATTGTGTGTGTGTATATACACAGTGATGTGTGCCAATGTGTGTATGTGCATGTGTATATATATATATACATATACATACACGCACACGCACACACACACACACACACGCGCACACACACACACACGTGTGCGCATACACACATACACACATGCACACATCCATCCATCCATGCATGCATACATACGTAGTCACCATATAACCCTACATGGTAACCACATAATCTTGCAGGAATACATGTATATACGCACAGAGCGATGGGTCTATGGCCCTTTCCATTTACGCTGGGTGATGTATTGAAGAATCAGAGTGAAACCGTATTGGCTCGTGCCCGGTGGCCCTTGTGTTGCGGGCTGGTTGGATGCTGTCATGGAAAATCTGTTCAACAACTTCGGTGAATGTCTGCTGCTGCCGCCTCTGGTTGCAACGTCATGATAAGTATGTCATGGTCCGCAGGTATGCTACGAGGAGTTGGATGTCAACCTAAACGCACACGAGCTTTGAGTTGCGGATGTGTGGGGCTCCGAGTCGACCCTGGGATTCGGCAATGCCGACCTTGGATGGCTATAATATGACCCGGCGCACCTCGCCCACGTCCATAGCAGAGCCGAAATCACAAAGCTTGATCTCCGTCTTGCTCAGAGTTATGAGCACCTTGCATTGCATGCGGCTGGAAACTCATTCTGCTGAATGTTGACAGCGTCAACGACTACGGAAACACGAATTGGCCGCTGACGGCTGCTGCAGGAAGCTGATGGTCATAACAGCACTTGTAGCACAACAGCACACCTGCATGTAAAGCATCGATATGACCACCAGCTCCTCTTAATCTGCGTTGAACATGCGGACTCGTGCCGACACAAAGCCGTCCGAAATCCCGGGTAAGGACACATCTGACTCAAGCGCAGGAAACAGCCGAGGGGCGTTGTCGGGTTTCAAGTCACCTCGTGTGGCGAGGGACTGCTCGCTACTCCGGGCTGTTGCATACTCAAATGTCGAAAAAATTCAATGGGCTCGCGAGCACTGTCAGGCGTCAAACCTCAAAGTAGCCGCGGGCAGGGTGCCCTACGAAGTGCGATCCCATAGTTACTGTAGTGGAACTATTGCCGGTGAATATTCAGGTTGTCTGCTACTTCAGGGCCGCCGAGGGGTGAGTTGACCGGGTGCTCAGCGTTTCAGCGCTTGAGGTTCTAATTAGAGCTTCCCTTAACCCTCCAGGTACCTACTATATAGGGTACTAGAGCCCCTAGGGCTCTATATAGTAGGTACCTGGAGGGTTAAGGTTCGGCTGGGTTCAGGATTGCTTGACGAAATCATCCCATGATCCAGCTAGGCTCCCGACCGTGTATCAGCTTCACTTTTCGGAGACACCGCAGCGCCAGAAACAGTTGCCTCCACAGGTTACAGATAAGGCTGAAGGCCATTGTCGCATCCTTACTCCACTTGAGCGCGCAGCAAGATGCATGGTTTGGGCCAGGGAGTCGCGAAGGGTTGAATCTATCGAACTCACACAAGCACCTGCCTGGCATACTGCGCGACCGTCTGTAAAGGAAGACCTTTCCCTTGTCCATACCTGGTTTCAATAAAGTCCGAACCAAAGGACGCAATCGGCATACATTGCTTGTTGCTCGGGGGGTACTGGGACCAGAGGCATGGGACTTCCCGGATAGTTGAGCCGAGGCTCTTGGTGAGCGCCGTCCGTAGATCGCACTTGAGCAGATCGAAGACAAGGCACCTTGCGACACGGTGCTGCGGAACATCAACCAGCAGTTCACAATCTAAGTCATAACTGCCAAACTTGCAGCAAAAACGGCGAGGCGTGCATCAGCCTCTCGAGTCACAGCAGGCCATGGTTCAGTAGGTGTAGGAAACTTATGCCAGGGGTAGTAAACCCCTATGTGCTGTTTGGTGGTACACTGGTGGTACTCACGAGACATTAGGGGTGCTGGCGACGGACAACATACCTCGGCGAAGCTCTGAGGCAAGCTGCGGATTCTTGTGCGGGTGGCCGAAACTTGCGTGATCGGCACGCCCTCGACGTTTGCCAGTCCGAAAAGTTGGGGTCAATACGGTAGGCTGAGCTTCGGACCCAGCTGTTTTGCTGGACCTCCTCGTGCTTTGGCTGCCAATACCATTCGACGGACCGGTCGTGAGTGGTCCTATAAAGCCTCCTTTAAGGGTTACTACTTACTTGCGGCTTCTACAAGGGTTTAGGTCCTAGAGCTTCAAGTTTTGAGGTGTACAGGGGTCGGGGTGTACTGTTGAGGGTTTCTTGCAGACTGTCTAAGAAACGATGCCTAGCGAAGCCGGTATCTGATTCCGCCATTGGGAGATGTTCTACATCATCGAGGACCTCAGCTAGGTCTAGGTACTTACTTATTATACAAAACGAGCGAACTCTCGTAACTTATGCAAAAAAACTTCGTAATGTGGCAGGCAGAACCCTCCAAAACAAAACTCGACAACAAACACATGGCCCACACACCTTGAATTTCAGACCCAAACTCACTCCCTAAACCCTAAACAAAAATGATGAAACCCAAACACCAAAACCTTGAACGCTTGAACAGTCCTCAAAGACCCTTTTTAACAACCTTGCAGTAACCTTTGTAGAACCGTTATAGCAACCCTCCGAGAACGGGTAGTTTAGAACTCTTACCAGATTCCAGAAAACCCTAAACTCCAAAACCCTTCTTAATCTGCACCCTTGGCAGCCCTCAGCCCCATTCAGAAAGTACGCTGAGGCACAGGTGCCCTTGGTGCTCAAAGGTCTCCGGGGGCGCAAGCCTCAGATCATCGTGCTGCTCTTTTGTGACTGCTGTTACATTGTTGCACTAGTACAACAACAACTACGACGACGACTGACTACAATTACGGCTACTATCACCAGGGTGTAACTGCTTATGGGGTCATGAGGTTTAGGGTGTAAAGGCTCATGAGGTTTAGGCTTTAGGGGTTTTGGGCGTTCGGGTATGCGGATTAAAGTTTGGGGGGTTTAGGGATTTGGGTCGAGGCCGTTACGACCTGGACTACTGTGTTTGATACTTTCCTATATGATGCTGACTGCTTCTTTGAGCTGCTTAGGGTTTGTAGGGGGTTTAGGGTTCAGGATATTCAAACCATTCATGATGATAAGTAAGAACCTAGCACAAGTGAAACCAAAGCGACTATGCTGGGTTTCAGGGTGTAGCATAGTAACCAAGACTAATGAATACTAATGATAAGAACAAGGCCACGAACTACTATACTATCATAAGCCTTTTAGGCTTGGGGATGAGGGTGTTGGGGCACCGGGGCATGTTGTATAATCCGCAAAGTGTGACAGTTTCCGGTTGGCCCAGCGACCCTGTCTTCCTTCTGATGGTGGTTGCCTGCTTTACGCAAACGAATGTCACAATCCTGATGCCTGATCTGCACCTAACACTATAGCTAACACCTTTCGTACCTTGACAGCTGGGAGCAGATGATGGTAGATCAGATATGAGGCCAGCATGACCGGTGCGGCACCGTCTGCGGCCCGTGCATCATGCCAAGTGCTGTCGGTCCATATTCATGTGTATATATATATATATACAAAGGCTCCAGCCTCCAGATCGTCTCTTGTTGAAGCAGCCCCCTTGTGTGGTAAAGCCGGGGAGCAGCATGATGTACTGCGCACCCTCGTGATCCTCCTGGTATGGACATGCTGAAGTTCTGTTGCTGTTGCACGTGCGACTAAGCAGACAAATGGGCATGCTACTACATCTACGGTTCGCGTCCATACCTAAGCAGTGGAAGCATGCACAGGCATGCCTATATTTCGGATGAAATAGCAAGAGGAGGCCAGGCGCCAAAAGAAGTGTCGGCTAAACCGTTGCAGTTTCGAGCAGTTTTACACCTCCTTCTCGAGTCGCGATGCTGTGCTTCTAAGTTCCACGATAGGTATCCCTCTCCAGACACGCACACATCCGTCTGTCGATCTACCAAACTACCCTTCATCCGTCTATCTGACTACCTACCTACCTACCTACCT